CCCTAGATAAGTGAAGTGAATGAAGTAACCTCTTTCAAATCCCTTCCGTTGATGGTGATTGGCACTGGATGTTGCTGCTGCTGTTGTTGTTGGTTGGTTGGTTGGTTATTTTCATAACCTCCGTCTTGTCTATGTTCACCTGCAGTCCTGTGTTTGTTGCTTCTTCGACTAGTTTGTCGGTTTTCGCTTGTCAGTCTTCGATTTTATGTGACATCAAACATAAATCATCCAGGTCTTCTAGGTTCTTCACGTCGGTCCAGGATATCCCTGTCTTCTCGTTTCCCACTGTCTGATGCATAATCCAGTCCACCACAGTTGGGAATATCATTGTTGATAGTAAGCACCTTTGTCTGACTCCTGTGTTTACTCCAAACGCCTCGCTGAGTTTTCCATTGTGGATCACTTGACATGTGCCGTAGTCGTACAGCTGTTGAATAAGGTTGATGAATACTTGGGGTACGCCGTAGTACTTGAGTAGTTTCCAAATTACTTCGCGGTCAACTCGAGTTCAACAAATATTCTGAAGAAAATGGAGATGGATGGATGGAACATGCACCCTTGGAGACCGTCTGATGAAATCGTGCACCAGGCCAGACTTAGAGTGAATTCCAAGTTGGAAATGAGTCAGTCGTGTGTCTGAGTGTAACATGGAGGAGATGAGAGATTATAGGCAATCTTGGACCCAGTTGAAGAGGGCTGCAGAGAATAAGACTAAGTGGAATAGTGTTGTTGATGCCCTGGGTTCCACTAGGAACTGAAGGGCACAGTAATAATAATAAGTAATAATAAAAGTAACCTCTGTTGAAGTCTCATCTTAAAGTGTATACTATATGAATAATGAATCTACATGAATGGTAATTATTCAGTGAATTTGTATGGTGACAAGAAAATCAAATATCTTAATATGTCACTTACATTATCGATAGTAAATGTCAAGAATAATTCAGATTATGCATAAATTGACGACATCTATTTGTAGCATGTGATTCTGTTTACTCAAATCGTGTTTATCATCCCCCCACAAAGTAGAGTGATTTCATTTTGCATAAGCTGTTAAAGTATCATTTTCCAGTGAAGAAGAAAGAATGGAACATTGAGAGATGAAAATACTGATTTTGATTACGCTTTTTTGGAGAATTGAGAGCCATTTTCAACTATATCAGGTGTCAAAATCTTTCTTACCTATTCACAATTTCAATAAGATTGGTGTCCGTGATTACTATTATTATCATTATCATTATTGTTCTTCTTTCAAGCGTCATGATACCTGAGATTGGTAACTTGTCAACTGAGAATTTGCGAGATAATATTCCTGTTGGATTTGATAAGGCGACTTTATGTAGGTGTGGCATATTTCACCTGCATTTTAGATGATAACTAAATGAGCTATCTGTAAACTGACTTCATCTCATCTATCTATATGCCCTCAGATTAAAAAAACATTGCGTAAAAGTAGTCGCCAAAAGCCTGTTTTAGGAGTAAAATCTAATTTTATGACAGAGTAGCACCTTGAGATGAATTATTTCAGTGATCTGATTATTATTATTGATAATTATTCCATTTGGTTTTTAGAATTTTTAATATATTTGTGAGTTGAAGTTTCTGTAGCGATTTAGTTAAGTTTTCGGGTGGAGTTGCTAGCACCACGCTCCAACCCTCCCTCTTTATCCGGGCTTGAGACCGGCTAGAATACTAGTCAGCTAGTAATCTAGGCAAGTCAAGGGATCCACAACGGAAAACTCACTAAGCGAGGCGTTTGGAGTAAACACAGGAGTCAGACAAGGGTGCTTATTATCACCAATGATATTCCTAATTGTGGTGGACTGGATTATGCGTCAGACAGTGGGAAACGAGAAGACAGAGATATCTTGGACCGATGCGAAGAACCTAGAAGACCTGGATTTCACGCGTGGATGATTTATGTTTGATGTCACACAAAATCGAAGCGTTACAAGCGAAAACCGACAAACTGGTCGAAGAAGCAGCCAGAGACAGGACTTCAGGTAAACAAAGATAAGACGGAGGTTACGAAAATAACCAACCAACAACAACAACAGCAGGAACATCCACCGCCAATCACCATCAACGGGAGGGATTTGAAAGAGGTGACCTCATTCACTTATCTAGGGAGCATTGTCTCAACCACAGGACGAACGGACGAGGATGTCAAAACGAGAATCGGAAAGGCGAGAAACACATTCATAAACCTGAAACCAATCTGGAAATCTTCGTCACTCAGCCTACATCAACAACAAAATGATTCGGATTTTCAATACAAACATCAAGTCAGTCAGTTCGTCTATACAGACCAGAAACTTGGCCAGTGTGTCACCAAGAATATTTCCAACAGCCTGTTGCAGACCTTTATCAGCAACTAACTGTTTTCGCTCTATACATGAAGATCAGATGGCCGGAAAGAATCACCAACAAGAAACTATGGGAACAAACAAAACAAGAACCAATCGCTCAACAAATATGCAGGAGAAAGTGGAGATGGATTGGACACTCGCTGAGGAGGCCACTCGCTGGGTGACATCGCGCGTCAGGCCAGTGCTCGAATGGAAGCCGAAAGGGAAGCGGCGAGTGGTTCGTCGATGCAAGGGTGACATGGAGGAGATCGTGTGAAGAGGAGCTGAAACAGTATGGAATAACATGGATGTAGGTGAAAAGTACATCAGAAGACAGAAGCAAGTGGAGGTGTGCAGTTGAAGCCCAATGTTCCACTAGGAACCCAAGGGAACAAAAACTAAATAATAAAATTCCATTTGGGTTTCAACAACACATTTCCATTTCACTACGTTTTCTAAAGTCTGTTTAGGCTGGCCACATAAATTTTCAAATCCTTTTCACATTATCTCCTCCATATGACTGCAGAACCCACGTACAACTCATCGCCTGTTTCCCATTTGGGTTCCACTCTACCTTTGGCCTGGTATAAAATATCGCTCAGTGGTCTCCCCAGCATTTAACTAACCCATCTCTTGCATTTTCCCGTGCACAATTGTTGCGTAATAGATTTTTGACTGCTTCGTTCCCGTAGTTTCTTGTTAATAATTATTTCTGGCTATGTCATCTTCAGTATCTAGCTAAGAAAGCTGTTGATAAAAGTCGAAGGTATCCTGGTGTTTTGTGACGCCCTGAGTTTTTGATCCATATAGCAGAACTGATTAACTTAAAATTTGTGTTGAAAATCCTAATCTTGTTCCTGATGCTGAGTGAAGAAGATTTCCGAAGTGTTTTCAGAATAATCAAGGTTTGTTTTGCCTTTCCGATTCTGACTGGCTTTGAAACCTTCATCCTTACCGGCTGCTTGTAGTCGAAACGATGCTGGATAGCTAGATAATTGTTGGTGATCATAATAGTTTGTTTATTAGATGTATCACACAGGGAAACAGTATTATTTACTGGATGACGTTTCGAACAAAATTTATTGTTCATAATCATATCATCAGTTATAATCACACGAATTCGAAACTTGAGTTTTATAGTTTTCTTTGTCCTCTCCTATTTGTTGTCGTTGGGGTAGTAGAATTTTCCAAATATCTGGGACAGGTGTTGAATCATTCCTATTACATGTACGATAAACAAAGCTTCTGTTATCAATTTCTCCCTATACCCTGTGACATTAGATTTTAAAACTGTCATTTTATCCCATCCTATTGTATGGTTGTGTGTAATTGCATGTAGTGAGTGCTATAGCTGAACAATTCTCTAAATTTCATATCTTATTCGGGTCAACCAATCTAGATTTTGCTGGGCTTTTATGTTCGGCTAGTCTGACTGACCCTGTTCTAATATTTTGACCTATGTATTTGACCTAACAATCATTGCAGGCAGGGTATTAGATAAACTAAATTGTTTTGTTTTAAAGGCTCCACAGGCATGATCCTTTAACCGACAAAGCTTGTTTCTAATTGAGTTTGTGGGTTTGAATGCCATTTTTATTCCTGCCTTGTTAAGAATTCTGCGTAAGGTTTCCGAGGTTCCTTCCTTGTATGGAATTACTACTGATGATTTAGATTCCTTATTGTTGGTGTTGTCTTGCGCATATTTGACATGCATGTCGTCATTATTATTATTATTATCACTATCACTACTATCATTATTTATTTTTTTTTACATTTCCTTACATATTTCCTGACTAATTTATCAGGGTAATTATTAAGTTTCAAGGCTTCTCTTATATGCATCACTTCCTGTCTCAGATTTTCCTTGGTACTACTTAGTTTTGTGCTCTGTCACTTAAACATTTCACCAATCTTATTTTTACTGACACAGGATGGGATGATCGGAAGTTCAAATATCTGTTTGAATGTGTGAGTTTCCTGTAAACACTAGTGTTTAACTTCCCATCTTCTTTCTTTTTACGCTACAATCTAACATTGGGAGCTCCCCTTCCTGACTTTCCAATTCATAAGTGAATTGAATTGCCCCACCTTTGAGTTAATGTGTTCGAAAAATCTATCTATATCCTGTGTTCTAAGTACAGCGAATGTGTCATCTACATATCTCCACCATAATTTTGGGGTGGGGGTGAACTTTTCAATCGTTATGTTTTCCCACCTATCCATGAATATATCTGCTACAACCGGGGATACTTACTATCACAGTGCCCAAGTTTTACACATATATTAAGAAGGAGGTGATCACTTCCAAATTTCTGCCATTGACAGTGATTGGTTGGTTATCTTCTTCATCTCCGTATTCTCTATATTCACTTGAAGTTCTGCTTTCGTTGCGTCCCTCTCCTTCCAGCTTGTTGGTTCTAGTCTGTTAGTCTTCATATTTATCTGACATTAGATATAAATCGGCCGGAAAGTCCACATCTTCTACAGTCTTGTTGTTGGTCCAACATATTCCCGTCTTCTCTCTCCCCATAGTCTACCACATAATCCAGTCCACTCGCAAACGCTTGTGTAAGCAGTACACGCTGGAAATGATTCACTATGCAAACTAGAAATTTTCACATGATTTCATATTTGCCTCACCTTTCATTCTAGCTCTATCGAAAATAATGAACAATTCACTGTGGACGGATAAATGTAACAGTTCATCCTGTACGCAAATGTATGAAATCACTAATACATCACTATCATCAGATTCCTTCAAATATACAAATAATGATCAGAATTCAATTGGCAAATATGCTGCCAATGAGACTTCAAGGAATCACCTCATAAATTGGTCATATTTTACAAAAATGGATGAATGGAGTAGAACAGAAATTGGGATACGCATTCTAATGAATATGATAAGTTGGATAGTCGACAGTTATTCATTTCAAACAAGTGCTAAAAGTAACCAGGTAAACTAATTGAAACCAAAAAATTATTATTTTGTATTTGTTTTGCACTGATCACTACCTTTTCTTTTTTCCTTTCCAAATAATATGATTGTTAATTCCTTTCCTATCTGACCATTGTTATTCTATCTTTTGTGTTTAGATTTATACTACTTGTCAGTAGTAAGTAGTACGAGTTATTTTGTTAATCCGTAACCATAATTATTGTTCGCTAGTGAGATTTAACTCAATTTACTATTACTCTATTTGATATATATAGTATTTATTTTCTCATAGCTAAAGGATATATGCTTAGTGTATATACCCCTTTCTGTTGAACACTGTTTATTCTAATCCATTTGTTCTCTGAAGTAGTTTTAGCGGATGGTGACTAGCAGTGGAATCCAGGATGCTTTTTTCTTCCTATTTGGAAGTATTCAGCTGGATGTAACTGCATTCCCTAATGAGTTGTGGATAAAGCTTTGGTGTTTGAAACGATGGGTACTGGGTTCGAGCCTAAGTATGAACAACAACACTCACTTTGAAATGTAGATACATCCATTTGACGAGTCCCAGATAGGACGAAATGCGCGTCTTGGATTCCACTACGCTAGTCACCATCCATCAAATGACTTCAAGTCAATTACCAGACATCGTCAAAGCATCCACACATGGGGTCAACATGTCAATAGAAGTCGGAGATTTTATTCCGATCAGTCAAAGGGAAAATAAAAAACTGAATTACAAATAAATACCCTTCATTCTTTGTTTGGCATTCGCGCGCTGTTTAATCTGACCGTGAATCAATCATTGACACAGCTTTGTTATTTTACTTATTAACGCTCAGTGACTGTGTCTCTGACAGTGTTCAGGCACAAATACCTCACAATCTGAGTACCGTGTCTTAGACAAATCCTATGTTATGGATTTTATGCACTTATCAATGTGTGATTTAAGTTTGTCTATTGGATTATCGATCTGGATCCCTTAGAAGAAATCTACGATTGTGAAGGTAAAGAATAATGACACATGGTTTGTGCTTGAAGCAACCAATCAATTCGTATGGGAATGTTATTCATCAACCGCAGATTAAGCTTCATCCCTGCATAGTCTGGTGAAATAAACTGTGTGGTCAAAGATATTTGACTTACAGAAGTTCAGTCAAACCATCGTTTTTCGTAAGTCTACTACCACTCTGAGTTGATCCGATTCTCTGACCTAAGTGTACAACTGGGTACACAGTTGATGAGCTAACTTTCAACAGTCAAAACGTTTCTCAGAAATGTAGCCAACAAACACTACTATTGATAATTCATATACTCTGTCTCTCTTATTCGATGTATATGCAGATGGTCGGATTTCAGTTAACTAAAGATACTAGGCTTCATATCCATATTAAATGCTGCAAAGTGAAGGTCCAGTCTTGCATCAAATCAATCTTCGGGAAGGTGCTCACTCAAACGGTGTATTCTGGTAGTGAACTTCTATTGGTTTACAATCCAATGCGTGGAATGAATTCGACCATGATTTTTCAGACTTACAGTGAAATCCATGCAAGTAATCAGTCACAGAGAGGGGGAATAAGTAGGATAAATTAACACTGAAGTCATTACGTAACGATGGGAAATATTAATATGAGGTCACCTTTCAGCCGTTGATAATTCAAAGAAGTGTTGGGCAAAATAATTTTCGTTAGAGAAAGAGAAGACGTCTTACGGGTAAGTGTTTGTCCCATGATCTTTAAAACTAATGTTTGACCTCAAAGTAGATTATTGGTGCACACTATCCAGTTAGAGTATAACACCTTATTTCTCAAACTGTTACCTGTAATCCCCATAGAACAATAAATGCCTGCCTTCTCAACCAGTCTTTTGTGTCCTTCTCAGTGTGAGAATAGTAGTCGAGTGATTAATCGTATATTGCTGTCCAGAGTGATTTTGGATGAAAAACAGGTGAAATTACTGTTAATGACAGCCACGGTAGAGACAAAGGTTGAATGTACTTTTTCGCATACAAACGCCCGCTTGAATTTCTGAATCATTTATGCTTCAGATGTACCCAGATGCCTTGATCTTACTTCCTTTGAGGCGTTTGTTCGTATCTTCCATAGAACTTTGAAGGACTTTTCAATTGGGGCTGAGTGTCTTCAGTTCGCTAGATGTTCTGTTATCAAGCTATAAACACGTCTACGTTCTCCCTTTGCTAGCTAAGTTGGACAGTATTCCCAAGAGCGTTTTATATGCGGATGCATGGTGCACTCAGCTCCACAGGAGCTAGTGAACTGGTATATGCATGATGATTTGGCCCAATATGACAACGTATCTTTCATATACAAGCCGGATACTTTCTTGCATGGAAATGTTACTGGTAGGCTGGCAGTGAAGCATGCTTGACCGCAAGATTTTGGAAACCATTTTCCGAGAATTTCTACTTCAGTATCACTTTTTGGGAGTGACGTGGATTCAGGTTACTGTCTAAAAATATGAGTAAGGAACCATCTTCCTGTTTATTTTTGTTATTGTTATGTTTTGAAACCATATTTATAGTCTTATTATTCATTATAATTTGACCCTCAACTGGAAATACTTCTGGAACCTCCTCACCCATTCACAACATATATTCACCAACGTACAGCCTAACTGATGGCTTCGTCAACAAAAAGTTTCTTTGCTACCACTGTCTTTTCCTAATTTTTCATATTATTTCTGTGTCAAATTCTAACTACTTATAAGTAGAAACATGAAGATTAAGAAAAAGAAACACCAACAAGAGATGGCTGTCATGACCGTAGTGAATAATGCTTTCAGTGTTTGATTTGATAGCAAATAGGTTCGAGTTTCAGTGGGAATACTAAGAATCACTGAAGACAGCAAGCACATGCATCTGACGAGTCATGAATGAGACGAAGCGTGAGTTATGAATCCCACTGCTAATAGTAATAGCTTTATTCTGAACAATGTAATGAATATAATGTACGGAATTTTCCGCATAGTTTAATGCATCATATTTTCTCTTCGTACGTGATCTTCAAAATATATCCAGAAATGTACAGCATATCTCATGACTTCGTTGAAAGGGAAATTTTCCAATTTTTCTCATTTTTTCTGTGATCTAATGTGTATTTAATTCAACTTTAGATTTTCCCATCGACTGACTGAAACGAAGTGCTCGGTCTCAGGTTGACATGTCGGCTTCTAGTGCAGATGCTTTGACGATGTCTGGGCATGTAATTAGAAGTTAATTGGTGGATGGTGACTAGCAGTGGGATCCAGAATGCGCATTTCGTCCTATTTAGGACTCGTTGTCGTCTGGATGTACCTGAATTCCTCAGTGAGTGATGATGTTCCCCACCAAGGTTCAAACACAATGGATAACGCTTTGGCGTTTGAAACTATGGGCACTGGGTTCGAGCCTTGATGAGGACATCATCACTCACTGCGGAATGTAGGTACATCCAGAGGACGAGTCCCAAATAGGGTTAATGTATATATCTCACATTTTAAAGAATTCTTATTTCTTTTGTTTGTTGTTATTTGAAGGCCGCTGATTTAATGAACACAAACTGGATCTACATATTTTACATTCATGTGATCGAGTATTCTCATCAGCGACAATTCAGCAATAAGAATATTGATAATAACAGACATGGGATTGAAAATCTATTGCTTCCAAAAAATAATATATCAATTTCAAATGCTTCCACTATGAATAATTTCCCAGCATCAGCAACAATGAGATATCTGATAACTAATCATGATTCTCTTGATATCATCAGCACATTTATACGATATTTAAACGACTTTAATTTAACCGCGGAAGAATGTGAATATGTGAAGGTCAAAATATTTAATGTGAATAAACTAGGTAAGAGAAAACGTTGTTGTTATTATTATCACAGATTTTCTTTTTTCACGATAAGTCTTACTTTTGCTGGTTCACGGGAAACTGAAGCCCTCCCGATCCACCAGCCCCCTTGTCATTGTGTCATAGAATGGGGGATTACATGTGAATGTTTGGTTCTCGTGTGAAAACTAACGGCATAATTATCCAAACAATGGGCATGTCATTAGATGAAGTGGAGATATGATTTATTCCAAATCAGATAAGTTTATTTCAAATATCACACAGTGATGATGCAGTATTAACAGCTGGATGACAAGGTTTGGAGCATAAATTATTGCCGCTCATAATCATATCAGTTTTAGTTACAAGATTTCATGAATTACTTTATATATATATATATATATTCATATATATATTGCATTGCGTCATTCCAATTGCACGTGTGCGGCGTTGAATCGATAAACAAAGCTTCAGTGATTAACCTCTCTCTGTCTCCATCTAACTATATTACCTTTTAATACTCACCCAGTCCCACCCTAATGCTGTGTGATTACATGCTAGTGCAATGGCTGAGCCTTTTTCTAGGTTATTTAACTTAGCAGGGTCAAGCATTCTAGGTCTAGCTAGCTAAATTTTTACATTTCAATAATCTAATTGACCCTAAACTACTAGTTTGACCTGAGTTGTGTAATTGACCTCACAGTCAGCATTATATTGTATTTGGTAAATTGGATTGTTTCTCTTAATTGGATCTATTGGTCCTTAAGCCGACAAACTTTACCAGTGAGAGAATTCGTCAGTTGATTTAAATACCACCCTAATTCCAGCCTCATTGAGAATCCCACGTAAGGCCTCTGATTTCCCTTCTTTATACGGTAGTACTACAGAAGCATTGAATTCTATATTATTTTTGTTAATTTTATCATTTTCATTACTAGTCTCATTTCTTCTATTGTTTCTCATACATTTCTGATATATATATATATCAGTTAGAGAACCATTGAAAACAACCTAGAGAGTACTGGACAGCTGTTTCATCCTAGTGACGACTTCTCACTAGAACTTCAGTGAGATCCATCCAGTCACGTGTGAGGATGGATGTCCCAACGATGACATTGGTTGGTGCCAGTCGCGCTAAATCACGAATTGGTAGGAGTTAGAATTCATGGATTGACCATTGAATCGGGTCCCAGTGGCTAAACAGTATATGAGCTTGTCTTGTAACCAGAAGTTCCTGGGTTCGAACTCTGGTGGTTAGTGCGTACCGCCGATGAGTCCCACACTAGGATGAAACAACTGTCCAGTACTCCCTGGTTGTTTTCAGTGGTTTCAATGGTGATATTTGAAATAAACCTGTCTAATATGGAATTGCATTCTACCACAGTGCCCAAGTTTTACACTTACTTTAAGATAAGGCTTATTGTTTTAAGTGATCATTTTTCAAGCAAGTAGATCTTGGGATTCAAATACCGTTCCACCTGAATCAGTCCTGGGCAACCGGATAGTGGCATTAGCTGTCAATCGATAATTGTGTGGTTTATAGCCCTGTACAAGAAAGAAATTTATTCCAGGTAACTGAGTTCTAAGAAAACAAAGCAAGGCAATTTGATAATGCAACGCTATATAAGTTCTTAAATTTCAGCTGAACCTGTCAGCAGAATACTTTACTAAATTTTAGATATTTATACTATACTGAAATAAATATGCAAATATTTTGAGATGGAAAAGACATAGATCTCAGATGAGTGTTTCTGACCCTAATATGTTCTATAAATTGGATGGCTTAATGTGCCGCTTAAACTGCCCTTCCATACCACTTCAAGGTTGAGGATATATACTATCGCAAATCGAACTTACCTCCTTCTCGTTTCAGTGTATGAAGGCGGTCAGATACTGTGTGAATTTCCTCAGGTAGTTGATTTTGTATTATGGGCCTACAGGACTGATTTATTCATATCAGATGTGACTTTTGACTGTTTTAAAAATATAAATATATTAAAAAATATCTGTTGTGCCATTTGCTATACTGTGCACAACATATTATTGCTCAAGTGAATATATGTGATGGTTGGATTCAGTTGAAACTATGTAGTGAACATTTTATAAGGATGTGAGACGGAACACATTGGGGTTCGCGATTGACCTCCTGTAGGATTGTAGTGGATATTTTGATTTGATACTAGAAACTAGCCTTGCTGACGAGTGCCAACTAGCACGAAACGTAGATCCAAGGCTTCCTGCCGATTGCCTCCAACCATCTAATATCATCACAGACATTTAGAATTTCAGTAAAGACAACCGATACGTTGATCGTTAATATTTGTGCCTAAATACATATTTGTTCCCATTTCATGCTAAATTCAGATGTGAAGGGAGGTGATGGCCAAACTTGAATCAACGATGGTTGTATATAGACTCGATCTCTTTCAGTTGAAACTGAAGGAGTACAGCAGAGGAGTCAGTCATTAGATGCTGATTTCGAAATAGTTCATTCAAATCGTTTCTTATGACCTAATGAACTGGAAAAAGTTAAAAAAGGGTTACTGTTCTTCAAGTTCAACTAGATTATGGAAACTCTATAAATTAGTCGGTAGATATTCTGGCATTTTCTTTCGCCTTCCGAGCTGCAGCTTTCTTCAAGAGACTTTTCAATAACTATTTTGGACGTAATCCCCTGCGCTACTTCATGTGGAGCTGAATCTAGTACATTTTCAGGAAGTGACACTTTAGAATATGTTCAGACTGATGTCAAAAGATTTTAAAACGAATTGAATCTGTAAGCTTTACTCCCAGCTTGACTGTACTAAGATGAATAGCTTTCTATCAGGAGTTAGCAAATGGTCTTTGTCCAGCGACCTTAAACTTAATCCTTCCAAGTGTCAGACTGTTAATTCCAGTTTTCGATGTAAGCGAAAGTTAAATGAAGCTGTTGGTTCCTATGACCCTTGCAAAATTGATGTAACTGATATAGAAACCAAGTCTGAAGTCAAGTATCTTGGATTAATTCTCTCTTCTGACCTATCCTGGTCCTCTCATATCTTAGCGATTTCTAAAAGAATATTTCGTCTGACTCTTTACATTAAGAAGTTAAGGCACTCAGGCATAACTCAACCACTCCTCTTACAGTTTGTCAACTCGTGTATTTTACCTATTCTTCTTTACTGTTCACCCTTATTCTTTCCTGGATTGCTTAAAAAGACTATGTCATACTTCGCAGAACTCTGAAGACTGTCAGTAGGACGAGTGGTATCCCATTGGGCCATATCGTTGACATTGTCACTGATAGGCACTTGATATCATGCAACAAATTCGCTAAAGGAATTCTGTCAGACTCTGAGCACCCACTCTACCCGCAGCTCCAAGCTTGTATCTCCTCAGGTAGAACAAGAAGTCTTTTCAGAAGACTTTATGCACGTACGTCTAAGTATAAAAATTCCACTATACCATATTTAGCACGTACTTTATTTGATGAAAATAGTGTTAGGCACGAACTAACTAACCTTCTTTGCACCACTAAATAAACCATTTCCTCTACCCTTAAAGCATCAAACTTTATTGTTATTGTATTTCTTATATTTGTAATCCTCTCAATTTTTTTGTTTTGTTTATTTTTTCTCATAAGTGTGGATATAATTTAAGCTGTATTATAACTGTAGACTTTGTATTTCCCCTCACTATACTATATCAACAGAACATTAGATCCAATAATCTATAACATGCTAAAGTTTCCAAACTGAATCGACAATACTGTTTGAAACAAACTCACTGTTTATTATTATTATTATTATTCTATTTAATAATCTCAATTCTTACTTCGAATATTTTTGACTTTATGTCGTAAATGTGGACAAAATCCTCCGGTTAATTTTGTTTTAATTTTACTTATGTTTTTGAGTAAATCAGATGCAATATTGTGACAAATGCTGAGAATTCCATTCTGTATTACAATTACTGTTTTTGGAATAAAGTAGATTATTATTATTATTATTATTATTATTATTATTATTATCTTAAGATGTCCTTATTCCGCCAAACTCATGTAATGTCACTCGGTAATTATAAAAAAGTGAAACGAACACCTCATGACTACCTGAGTAACGTAGTTTAGTTTCTAAATAACCGGACCAGTAATTCACAGGTAATCAATCAAATCTCACCACAACCCATGTGCATAGTTCAACCTCAATAATCCCATCAGTATGCAGATCAAATGCACTTAGGATAAAAAATAAGATCCGTATCTTCAACAGTAATGCTAAATCAATGGAGTGCTTCTGTATGGTTCAGAGACTTGACACAATTGACACAAAAAGAACTTTCAGCAGTCTACCTCAGGCCTCCCTTCACCCGATGCTGAAGATCAGATGATCATCCAGAAAGTATAAGCAAGAAGGAAATCTAGCAACCCGACCAACCAAGAGCCTACTACCCAACCAACAAATATGCAGAGAGAAATGAAGATGAACTGGACATATGCTAAGGAGATCGTGGAAGGATATCACGCACCACGCCTTCAAGTGGAACCCGAATGGGAAACGACTGGCTTGATGTAAGTCCGAGGATGAGATGGAGGAATTCATGTAAGAAGGGAATGGAAGAGTATGGGTAGTCGTGTAGCTAGATAATAAGGACTGCAGAGAATAGAATGAAACGACGATGTCTTGCGGAGGATCTACATTCCAACAGGAATCCAAGGAAATAATGGTGGTAATCATGATAGCTTAATATTCCTAACGCTATTATTAGTTTATTTTATTTGTTTATTTATTTACATAATACTTCTTTTATTTTACAGGGTGCAGAAGAAAAAGAACACCCGACTGCGTAATACCAAACTCTGGATTAAGGTATGAAGTGATGAATAGCCTTTGTGAACAACTCATAAGTTTCGATGGAAATTGGTTGAAACACCTCTGTATGCAAACATTTTTCACAGCAATAATTAATAGTAATAATAACAATCATAATAATAATAATGGCAGTTTATTACTCTTAGATTACATTGTACAAAATTTATTCAGTGTATTGGCTTTCACGTATCAGAGTGCATAGAAATTTTGAAGAAATAAAATATA